CGCCCCGCCCCCAGGCCCGCCCCGTCCAGGCCCGCGGGGCGCGCGACACACCCCGAGGGCCCCCAGCCCTCCGCGCCTCCTGCGCCGGGCTGTTCCGGGTTCCCGGGATGGAACCGGGATCCCGGGGGAGACCGTTGCAAGTCAGGGACATCGAGCTCCGGCAGCTCCTTGGCCCGGGGGCTCCCCAGAGCGTATTCAGGGTCAACCCCCGATGAAGGAGAGGGATCAGCCAGTGGTCTATAGGATATGATTTAAAGGACATCTGGAACACCCACCCCTCAGCAAAAACAAATTGCCACCACCACCCTCACAACCGTTCCTCCCCACCCACACCCCCACGCCAGCCTGGAATTGCGCCTTCAGCCTCTTGCCGGGCAATGTGCACACCGGCGCTTGCCTGAGTTATGTACCCTCCAGTGAAAAGGTTTTCCAGATCCTCTCCTGAGACAGGAATTTCTCAGGGGGAAGTGGAGACAGCAGAAGCACTGAACCCCACAGATGATCGTGGTGAGGTGGGTAGGGCTAGCTGCCGAGGGGGAAATGGCGGAGGGGGAACGCGGGCTGGCATGGGGTGCTGTCCCGGTGGCCTCCTGTGGCCTCAGACTGGCTTGTCCACCACTGCCCTCAGGAGCCTCCCCCAGCTCCCTCACTGCCTATGCTCTATCAGAGCACTTCCTCTTCGCTTTCCCTGGGAGGCAAGTGAAAGCCTGGCCCAACTTCCCCATTTTCCGGAGAGGCAAAACTAAACCCAGCAAGCTCAGTGACATCCACACTGAAGAAGGGCAGGAAGTGGGGTGGAAGCCGAGGACCCTAACTCCCAGAGGCTCTCAACACACTCAAGGAGAAGTTCTGCCTTGCCCCACCCACCCCCAGGCAAGGTGGACAAGACATCTTCGAAACCAGCCAGGAATGGAAAATCTTATTTCCTCTGCTGGAAGGGAAGGCTGAAGCAGGGTCCATCCAGAAGGGAGAGGAGGACAAGGGGCCAGAGAGGAGCTGTGAGAGAAGTTGCAGAGACCAGGGGGAAGGGGCTGAGCCCCGGTCATTCACTGTCCTCCAGGAAGAAGTCGTTGTAGGCCATGCACAGCGTGGTCAGGAACACCGAGTACTCCTTGAAGTCGATCTCCTGGTCACTGTTCTTGTCCAGGCTCTTCATCAGGTCATCAGTGCTGCTCTCCTTCATCTTCTTCAAGGGCCCAGGAAGAGGGACAGGTCAGCCACCCCACCTAGCCCTGCCTCACCACTGCACGGTGCCACCCACCCCCTGGGAAGGCAGTCTCAGCGTGATCCTCATCTGGGTCAGCAACATTCTGAACATCTCAACCCCCAGCATCTCCCCCAGCCCACACCCAGCCTGGGGCCTGGCCCCATGCAGTGACCTGACTCCTGAATCTAAGCAAATGTCCGTAGGAAAGCTGGTCCAATCTCCCCTTTCCTCAGCACTTTCCACCATCCAAAGAAATAATCATCTAGATTTTATACAGTGTCCAACAGAAACGCCTTGGTGACTATGTGGCACTGAGCATGATTCAGACTTCTTCTGTCTCTGTAGAGGATAGTTGAGAACTGACCCAGACAACACGCCATGAGAGCAGTGTGCCAGAGGCCAGAAGCCACCAGAGCCTCCCTTTCTGGGAGAGCCTGCAGCACACCTGTGTGAGGATGAGGACCCTGCTCAGCCATACTCTGTCTGTCCCCTGCTCTCCCAGCCCAGCTCCACCAAGAGGATGGAAACAGGGCCCTCTGGTGGGACAGGAAGAAAACACAGACCTGGGCGCCTGGGTGGCTCAGTTGGTTAAGCGACTGCCTTCGGCTCAGGTCATGGTCCAGGGTCCTGGGATCGAGTCCCGCATCGGGCTCCCTGCTCGGCAGGGAGTCTGCTTCTCCCTCTCCCACTCCCCCTGCTTGTGTTCCCTCTCTCGCTGTGTCTCTCTCTGTCAAATAAATAAATAAAATCTTTAAAAAAAAACACACAGACCTGTTCTGCCCTCCCCTCTTCACTGCCCTCAGCTCCCACTTTTCCACAGGAGACAGACGTCAGGACAAAGGGAGATGGAAACAGCTTCTCTGTGACACGGTCCTTGCCCCCTGTCTGGGCTCCTGTTAAAAGTCAGGCCTTCCCCAGGGCCTCTGTTCCCCTGTAATTAACCCCTAGGGGACCCGCCACCCCTCCCTTTGCCCTCGTTAACTCCAGGATGCAGAGAGCCTGGCAGGAAAGCCAGAGGGCAGGCTTGGTGAAACCCACACCTGCTCCAGTCCGAAGCCCAAAGGGGAGGTTCTCTCTGGGGAGGCCCACCAAGGTTCACAATGTGACTGGAGAGGCCCCCAAGACTGGATTTTCAAGGAAAAAGGAAGGACTCTGCCTCTTACTAGCTGGGTGTCTTTAGACAAGTTAGATAATGTTTCTGAGCCTCTATTTTTTTGAACTGTAAAAATAACATAACTTCCTCATAGGCCTTCCCCTTGGTCAGCCGCCTCCCACCATCTCCATCTGGCAAGAAACAATCTGTCTCCTTCCAACCTTGTGTTCACAAACTAGAAGAATGATCCTTTTTGTTCCCATGTCAGTGCCAGCTGAGAGCCCTGGATGAACCAGGCACACAGGTGAAGGCCCTGCCCTTGAGCCGTGCACAGCTCAAGCTGGGCACCCTGGTTCCTTGTTCCCCACGATTCCTCACACAGGCTCTTCTACGGCTGTGTGGGCCTGGCCTCAACAAAGAAGGCTCCCTGACCTCTAAACCTTCACACAGGCTATAATTCACCCTCTGGATGCTGCCCTTACTCCTTCCCAGTGAAACCCAACTCGTCCCTCATCACAGAGGTCTTACATCTGGTGGCCCAAGATGTCCACCTTCTTCATTAGGTCTCTGTCAGTTGCCTTTGGCCATTCTGCTCCTGGCTGAGACTAGAGCACTAGGAGGGCAGATGTGTGTCCCCTATTCTGGGTCTCTACAGAGGCAGAACTGGGGCTTCCTACCTCACAGAAGGGGAGCCCCTGACAGTGGTATGGTGCTTCCTCTGTTTTCCTCCTCCCCCAAGGTGTGCACAGGGAGAATTCAGGCTTTGGGGTGGGGGTGACAGTCACCTACCTCTCCAAGATACAGCTCCTTCTTGATCAGCTCCTTTAGTTCCTTCCTGCTCAGGATCAGTTTGCTGCCTTCTCTCCCCGAATATTTATGGAAAGTGGTGACCATAGTGGTCAGGGCCTTCTCAAGAGGTGTCTCCATCAGTGTGTGGCTCTGGAGGGTGAAGGGAGAGGGAAGGATCACCATCCCAGGGAAGCCAGACCTTCTGCTTCCCCTATCACTAGCCCAGCCTCGAGGCTGTCTCTCAAGGACCAGAAACTAGAACCCAGATGACACAGAATCTACCAACAAGTGGACCCAAATGTATCAGAACAAGTTGTAGTAAGACCCGAGGCAAACGTGGAACAGCCAGAGCCATGAGACCAGCCAGCCCCCAAAGGAGCCTACACACTCTCCTGCTTAGGAGATGCTGGAAAAGGGCTCTAGGGGCAGATGACAAGATGACCTCCCCAAAGATGAACTGGTGGCAGATGATGGAGCCGAGAAAGGGCCCCTGGCCCATCTAGCTTGGACACTCATCTCCCAGAGGCAGCCCTCACCCCAATCTCCCTCCTTTGCCCCAGTGCCTGAATCACCTGATAGTGGGGAGTGTCCCATTATAGAAGTAGAGGACAGGGCAAAGAGAGAGTCCAGGGTTTGGAGGGGCCTGGGGCTGGAACTGGGAGATAAGGTCTCAGCAGGAAACAGAGCAGAGGTTGCTGGACTTGTCCAGCTGGTCTCAGTCTCTGGCCCAGAGAACTGCACGCAACTGGCACCAGGAGGGGTGGGCCTATCAAAATCTCCAGGACCCCTCTGAGAGCTGGATCCAGAGGTTGGGTTTGAATGTGGCCCCCCATGTCCATCAGCACAGCCACACCCACCCAAGGGAAGAGGGAGCTCCCATGACTCAGACTTGAAAACCCCTTCCCCTTAGGAAGGAGGCAACACCCAAGAAACTTGGGTGCTCCAGGTTAATCTGTGTGGAGTCCAGAGCAAGAAGGAAGAAGCAGCTGGCTCTCACCTTCAGCCCAAAGCCCCCCTAGTGATTCTTGAACTGGATCTGTCATCCACCTCTCACCACCCCAAAACCTCAGCATCACCTGCCCCCCTCCCCCACTCCAGGAGACTCAGCCAGGACCACAGGGGAGGGAAGGTTCTCTGGGCGTCTGCAACAGCATCCTGGCTGGTTCTGATCACAACTCCATGCCTAGAGCCACTTGTCAAGAAATTCTGATAACCACAGCTCCACACTCAGCCCTCCTTCCTGAGCGCATGCCCACTCATCACGCCAGGCCTTCCACAAGGCTTGTCATGGTCTGGCCTCATTGCCCTCCTTGCCCCAGCGTATACATGAGCAGGGAGGTGAGAAGGAAGGACTCACCAGGGAAGGAAGCAGCAGACAACCCACACAGCAGAAACAGGCTCCCTCCCACCACTCCCTGCCTTTGTTCCCTTGCTCTGGTCCCCAGGAAACCAGGGGAGGGAAAGAGCCAATGAGAAGGAGAGGGACCTGAGAAGGCCCAGGTCAGAGCCTCATGGGACGGGGCTGGGGAGAAACCCCTCTGCCAATCTTGCCTTCCTTGTTTCCAAACAGAGGGGAAGGGGGCACATTGAGTTCACTGCGGCACACACATCTTCAGTTCCAGAAGCTTTATTTTCCCAACCAAAAACCAGCACTCAATCTGATGGGACAACAGGGTAGAAGAGAAACCAGCTGCACCGGGGAGAAAAGACCCAGGAAATGTGGGCCAAACACAGGGTATCTTCTCTCACCCTAGGCCACTCTCCACACTGGGGCCCTCCCATCCACACCAAGAGTAGAGCAAACACACCTTGAGATGGGAATCCATGAGGGAAGATGTTTCCTGCCAAGGGCATGAAAGTCAAGGTCAAGGTCATTAGCAAGTATGGAGCCTGTTTTTAAAGGGCTTTTCTTTTTTATTTATTATTTATTTATTTATTTATTTATTTATTTATTTATTTATTTATTTGA